AAACCCTAAACTCCAAACCCTTGAATCCCAAACCTTAAGCACTAATTACCCCTCTCAAACAACGACTCCGAATTCAAGAGTCTTATACCAATCCCAACAGCCTTGCTGAGGTAAGGTTTAGGCTTAAATCATACCGGGTTCCTGACCAAGGTACTAGTTTGAACTCTACTGCAAGCGCTTTGAAAATCTCATTCATAAGGACCCTTGCTTGGGGAGGATTCCTTTAGGGGAGTTCAAGGGCAAAGGAGGGGGGTAGGGAACTATGCTCCCTTAAATAGGCTTTTGCTACACCCTGACCAGGCCCTTCTTAGGGCTACCGCGCTCCGCCCCTAATGCAGCTACAGCCTCGTCATCAACTTCATGAACTTTCATCGAACCCGGGAGATTCCTTAGAAAACCTTAGATCCGACTGCTATCATATTCGTCCTTAGGGTGGCTGAATACAGCCAGCCCAGTGCAGCGCATGACAGAAGCACAACGGGCCCTGGCCCACCCGATCCATGTGCATGGTGACGAAGGAAAAGGGAAGCGTGAACGGTGTGTAAGGGTGTTGTCCTGGGGGACCTTCTACATCCGTCCCAGCACCAATGTATTGCACTACAAGTTGCCCGGCCTGCATGGCATACGACACCGCTGGCAGAAACCAGACGCTGCGCGTGCTCCAGGAGCACCTAGTGAAAAACTTGGAGCGCTGTGCAGATCCTGACAGGTGCCCGGACCTGCAAGGCTTGCAATACGTATGTGGCCGAGGGGACTGGAAGTTCAAAGGTGAGTGGTTGGCAGAAGCTCGGACCTACCAGGACTCTCGTGCAAATGCTTCCCCTATCCGCTTCCTTCTGCCGCCGCTGCCTGTGCACGTCCAACACCGTGCGGACTTTTTGCATTTTTCCTGGAACTCCCCGGCTGCTGTGCTCCATACCCTGGACGCGAACAGCCCCTTTCAGGGTCCCAAAATATATAGCACAAGCACCCTTATGCAAAGGACCCCCAAAGGTATCCTAATTTAGAGAACTACCCATATGTTGCAGAGCCTTTTCAATTATCAAGGCCTCCAAGACCTGAACAATATGTCTTGGAATCCCTACCCAGCCCGTTGCAGGAAGCTTCCTTGAAAGGTTAAAGCCCTCAGGCCTGAACACGCCCAACAAGCTCGTTCAGGAGCATTGTTAAATTCTTTGTCATAGTTGGGTAACATGTTACATTTTAAGGGTACTTAAACCCAATAAGGAATAGAAATTTAAATTTTTAATACTACCCCAACCATGAACTAGAAATAGGAGCGCTCTATAACCTCAAGGAATCCTAGAGCCTACATGGGGCTGGCGGGAGTAGCCTGACCATGAAAGCAAGGGTTTAGGGTTTCTCGAGATCAAAAAGCCCCTCAGCTAATGTGGAATCCTTCAAAAGGTGCCTACCTACACTGGTCTAGTATCCTAAACCCTAAACCCTAAACCCTAAACCCTAAACCCTAAACCCTAAACCCTAAACCCTAAACCGTGGAGGGGGGGCTGTTTCGGGCTCCATGTTACGTTGGATTAGAGAGCTTGGGGCCCTCATCGATCACCGGTACCGGTTCAGGCTTCAGGGGTTAAGGCATTAGGGTTTAGGATTTAGGGTTTAGGGTTTAGGGTTCAGGGTTCAGGGTTCAGGGTTTAGGGGTTCAGGCATTAGGGTTTAGGGTTTAGGGTTCAAGGTTCAGGGTTTAGGGCTTTAGGTATTAGGGTGTAGGGTTTACGATCTGCATAGAGCAGGGGCCACCACCTGCAGCACCTCCTTCAGGGCAGGCTCCAAAATATTTAACAAGAGCAATAAGAACAATAATACTACTACGAATAGTAATAATCATGATAATAGCAATAACGGAATAATAACAATCATCTGCTATGAAGCTATGAAGAATACTCATAGTGCGTCATGTTCAGTGTCATGAGTTTGCCAGCAGCCAGGATGCTGGAGGAGGATGCGGATCAGCCGCCCCTCCTGGACGGACTTGACAAAAGGACAGCAGCTTGGTTTCGGGTTTAGGGTTTAATGTCGGGGCCTTAAAAAATTAGAATAAGGTTTGGGGCCCATTATGCTATCGATGTGGCTTTCCCCCTCCCCAGCCCCAAGCCTGGAACCGCAAAGGAACATGCACCCCAAAGCCCAAGCCCTAGACCCCAAGTTCCCAAGCTTTCCCGAGAGACTTCTAACATAACCACGATTACAGGCCGTGACAGCTATATTCCATAGTAACGCAGCCTTCGACCACCGCACACTAGATCAAAGGCGTCGCGGAGCGCTCGATTTCCGTAGTATAGCTTGAAGTTGGCAGCGAGAGGCATAAGCATCACCATGAGCACGGTGACCACACCGCAACCCTTGGCAATTGCTTCCAAGTACTTCCAAGCGCAGTTTTGGGTATATAGACCCTAAACCCTAAACCCTGAACCGTGTGAAGCCGCCCTTCCAAAACCAGGCAACTCGCAAGCCCGAACACCGAAACCATCAAATCTCAAAACCCAAACCCTGCTGTGCAACTGCGAACCCCAAACCTGGACACCCCAAACCCCAAACCTAAACACCTAAACCCGCAGCCGGTTCGATCTAAGGGCATCTATGAGGTTCTATACCCAGACCCCCGGCAGGATCCAGAAAGTAGATCCCTTAAGAGGGTTCCTATAAAGTGCCCTTTAGTTGTTAGGGTCCCAAATTAGGGGATCGACTTTCTAGATCCCCCCGGGGGTCTGGGTAAGGGGGGTGGTGCGGTTCAAGGACTTACGATTGGAGACTGCAGGGCCTGGGTTTTTCGGAGGTTCCATTCTTATTGGTACCAGAGGCTTTAGGGTCTAGGGTTCAGGGGTTAGGGTTCAGGGTTTAGGGTTTAGGGTTTAGGGTTTAGGGTCTAGGGTTCAGGGGTTAGGGTTCAGGGGTTAGGGTTTAGGGTTTAGGCTTTAGGGTTTAGGGTGGAAATGAACAAGTTCCCTAGACCCAGAAACCCTTTTTGGGTTTACTGCAACGTGCCTTAAGCTCCAGGAAGTTTGCTAAGCGCATGGGGCGCATGAAGCAAGGCCAAGGCCTTCAAACGTGTAGGATCGTTCAGGGTTTAAGGTTTAGGGTTTAGGGTTTAGGGGATTCTAAGCCCCATGAGCCCTAAGCCCTAAGACCCTGCTGTGAGGAACATCATCAAGGGAAAGCGCAAGCGCAACAAGGCAGGCGGCCAAAAGCAAGTCGGGACACTGTGTGGGATTTCGAGGTTTAGGCTTCAAGGGTTACGTGGTTTAGGGTTTAGGGTGTAGGGTTCAGGGTTTAGGGTTTAGGGTTTAGGGTTTAGGGTTTACGTGTCGGAAGTGGGTCTTACACAGGGGTTTGGCCAGGCTTTTTTCGGAGTCGGTGGTTAGTTGGGGCTTAGGGTTTTAACTGTTTTTTGATAAAAACGACTGGCTGCATGATTTCCGAAGTTTGTCAAAGAGCGCTGGAGCACACCGTTAATTGTCGAATACTCCTTCTTGAGTCAGGTAACTATAGGCCTGGAAATTTGTGGCTCCACTGTTTAGGGTTTAGGGTTTAGGGTTTAGGGTTTAGGGTTTAGTTGATGGATACTTATAAGCTGGGCTACTGGAGGCCCGAAAGCCCGGAGATGCAGCTAGTGGGCGTTGGACACTGACTCCTCGTGCCAGGAGGGGCTCTTGCCAACCCAAACTTTCCTGGCAGCGCTTCCTTGCCCAGCGGCCTCGGGATGTGGCCAACCACGGATTTTTCACGAGCTGGTCATCGCCAGTTTTCCTCTCAATCGGAAGCCCTAAACCCTAAACCCTAAACCGTAAACCCCTGGCACCTCGCGCAGAAAGCTCTGGCCACACGCAGTCAGTCGGCCGGGACATGGCCGGAGTTGCCATTGCCAACGACCAACGTGGCAGAGGAGGGTTCAGGGTTTAGGGTTTAGGGTTCAGAGAACCTGGCAGGTGTTTAGCTAATATAGGGGCCTTAATAATTACCTGTACTACTTTGGCGCTTCCTTGTTACAATTTTAGTATACCATACCCCAAAACCCTATGCGATTTATTCAGGCCCCTACAGTACAACGTGATGGCGCTGTGCTGGCACCAACCGAGCTTGTGGTTTCGGAGCACTCCGCCTTGCCACAGTGTCGGTTTAGGGTTTAGGGTTTAGGGTTTAGGGTTTAGGTGCAATAGCCCATCTCGCCGTCTGTGACCGTGGACAACATTGCGCACTGCTGAATCCGTGTGATTTGTTTGATTGGCCATAGAAGCTTAACATAAAACCCCTCAGCCGGAAACAGTGAATCGACACTGTGATTTTTTTAGTTTAAGCGGCCCCCTTTGAAACAGCGCAACAGCAATGAATAAGAATGGGAAATGCCTTCCCAACCCCTCTTGAAGTCGTATACTAACTATTTTTGTTGAAGCCCTGCCAAAATAACGTTTGTATAGCCCTACAGAAGCCTTGCGAACGTCATGCAAGCCTCATGCTTTCTTTCAAAGGTCTCCTCGCACAGATCTTCCAAGCCTCGTCCTAAACCCTATTAACCCTAAACTCCAGAGCCCAGGCCCTAAACCCTAAACCCAAAACCCCAAACCCCAAACACTCCACACCACCCTAAACCCTAAACCCTAAACCCTAAACCCTAAACCCTAAACCCTAAACCCTAAACCCTAAACCCTAAACCTAAACCTAAACCCCCATCCCGAGGTGGACTACCGCGCCGTCGAGCGCGAGATTGAGGCCGAAGAGCGGCGGCACAAGGCACCGACAGAAGGGGACTTCTGTGACCGTAAAGAACCCTTAAAGGAACCTTTGAAGGAATCCCTAGAACCATTGGTGGCCTTCCTCAATTGAATACTTAGAGCAAGGGTTTACAAGCTTTCAGAAACTTAAGAAGTAGGCTAGGGTTGTACAGTTTGTTTTTGGTAGGGGATCCCCTAAACCCTAAACCCCTAAACCCTAAATCCTAAACCCTAGGGGATCTTGTTTATAGGGTTTTCGATGAGCGAGTTTCAACATATGGAGGACCTTGAAATGTGCACTAGAAGTCCATGGTAAGTGGCTATCTTGAGGGTTTAGGGTTTAGGGTGTAGGGGTTCAGGGTTTAAGAGTTTAGGATTTAGGGGTTATCTTGAGTGTTCTATAAAGTTGAGGGGTTCTTTACAGGGTTTCATAAGGTTCCTGGAGGGTTTGTAAGATTATGCTTTGCTTGATTCAGTTGCATAGGGTTTCGTGAGGGTTCCATCATATGTGTCAGAAGCCTGACTTGCTGGAATCATCTAGGCTTTCGGGATTCAGGGGTTGAGGGTTAAGGTCCAATGCAAGGAATGTAGAAACCAAAAGCAGGCTTGCACAACCGTCGGATGAATCAGCATAGATCCAGGTAAAGCCCAGTTAAACCCGACAAGACATCGACCCCAACATCGGAGGAAGTAAGAAGTTTCCTCAACTGAAGTCAGCAGCGCCCCTATTCAGTGACAGAGACTGCAAGAGAAGGCTACTGAACCCATGCCTACACCCCCAAAATCTAGAGCCTAGTAGAAACCTTTTATAAAGTCCTTTTCTGGGCTCCTCCCCCCCCCCCCTACGAACCTGGGGAGGGTTTCGTTTCTTTTGCCTCTCGCAGTCCAGCACATCCAGGGCTTTCATGCTAGGGGTTAAACACTGTGTTGGGGTTGTGGAGTGTGGTTGCTTGCGCTTCGGGTTGTTATAAGGCCTTCGCGGGGTTCTGTGGAATGTTGTGGATCTGATTCCGTCTGATCTGGCCCTAAACTCCTTAATCCTCGGTTTTGAGTAACATAGAGGCCTTTATAGCTACCTATACTATATTGGGGGCTCCTTATTATTATTGTGGTACAATATACCCCAAAACCCTACTCCAATTATTAAGGCCCCTACAATACCCTTACAGGGATGCCTGGCACTTGCAGACAACGAATCCTGTGGCCGTCAGGGGCGGTTGGTCCGAGATCGTGGATACTTCCGTAGCTCCCTGAACCCTCACCACCCCAAACTCTAAAAATCCTAGAGCTCCCAGGAAAATACTCAAAATACTCGAAAACAAGCCCCCAGACCCGACAGACGCTTAAACCGCCGAACATCCGAAGGTAGTGTTCAGATTACTCACAAAGCTTTGGCATAAAGCCTTCGTCTGAAAGCCCATGAAGCCCTTATACACACCCGCGAAAGCCCTTACAAAATCCCATCAAGCCAACAAAAGTCCATAAAGCCCTTACAAATGTATACACACATTATCATACATATATATATATATGTATGTCTGCATATGTATGTGTATGTATATATATATATAAATAAATAAATAAGTAAATAAATAAATAAATAAATAAATATATATATATATATATATATATGTATGCCCTGTGAAGCTTCCATGCAGGACGTCTTCTCCGACGGTTCCAACGAGTCCCAAGGTGTGCGTGTCGAAAGATCTCATCTGCACGTCCTGGAGCACTTAAAGGATCATGGGACTTAGTAAGTAGGGTTATAACTAAGGTAACTATACTTATAACCCCAAGCAGGGGACTCATAACCTTACTTACTAAGTCCCATGATCCTCCAAGTACTGGGGAGTAGAAGCGTTTTTCCCCAAAGCCGATCTCCTGGCGAGCCGAGGCTGCTTTGAGGTTTAGGGTTTAGGGTTTAGGGTTTAAGGTTTAGGGTTTAGGGTTTAGGGTTTGGGGTTTAAGGTTTAGGGATTCTATGTTAGCGTTCCATGATGAGCAAACTGAGGATGTAACTCTTTGATGAGGGCACAATGACAGCTTTCATCGTACACCAGCGGTTTCTACTTTCCGGCGCACATATTAAACACTGAGAGTTGGCATTGGATGAGCATGTGATGCCCGAATGCTTCAGGTGACGAATCAATGCAAGTCATTTTGCAGCGTTTGGCTTAGGCAGACTTGTTGCGCTCTGGACCTGTCACAGGTCACCTGCCCACCCCTAAGGATGTTGCGGGCATCCTTTGTTGCGCTTGTGGCATCAGCTTGCCTCATCGGCGGTGCCTTCGTCTCTGCACCCTCCAGCCGCGGAAGTGGTCCAACAACACTGCGGGGTGCTGTAGGTATTGGACGTTCAGTGCCTGAAGGGGGCAATGGGCCGGAATCAGCTGCTCATGGCTGGTGCGCCGTGGGGGCCATGGGGGCGGTGGTTGCATTGACCTTGTGCCGTGGCAAGCGCACGGCTTTGCGTGCTGAGCCGCTATCGGCCTCCGCGGCGGCAGCTGCCGCAAAGGCAATTGCAGCCGTGAAGGGTGCTTCGGCTGCCAAAACCGCCACAACGGCGGCAAAGACGGCCGGCGCGGTGGCGGGCGCAGCGAAGACCGCTGGTGCCGTGGCCGGCTCGGCGGGAGCCGGTTCACTGAAGCAAGCTGCGGACGAGGCAAGTGCTGACGAAGACTACGTCAACAAGAAGCTCAACATCATGGACAGAGGTGGGAGCTAGGATTAAGGGGACCCTTGGGGAGATAGACCCTCTCATTAAGGTGCCTTTTAAGAGAGCCAAGAGTGGGGTTCAGAAGGGGTACCCTTTAAGGGGTACCCTAAACCCTAAACCCTAAACCCTAAACCCTAAACCCTATAAACCCTAAACCTAAACCCTAAACCCTAAACCCTAAACCCTAAACCCCAAACCCCTAAGAGGCACCCCGGAGTATGAGAAGATCAAGGAGGCCAAGGCCAAGCGCAAGGAGAAGGACTGGGAGGTGCGCACCGCGCGCAACCCCGACAGCACCTTTGGGAACCCGGAGGACGCCTACAAGGGTAACTTGGTGTTCTTCTGGTTGGCTCTTAGGACTTTAGCTTTTTGGGTTTCTATATGAACCATAACAAGGAGACTAAAAGTTTAACTTTTTCGAGGGCTTCAAAAGTCAGCCAAGGTAAGGCAGACCTCTATGATCCTCTCATGTCGCTCTCACAGCGCTTCTTGAAGGAGTCGGGCAATGAGTTCAATCCTGCCTTCCAGATTGGTGTGACGGATCCCCTGGGCTATTTCGACCCGTTGGGCTTCTGCAACTGGGTTCTTGTTAAGGGATTTAATTTAAGTTACCATAATAGGGGTCTATAGTAAATAATAATATGTTTTCCTTATTATGGTAACTTAAATTAAATCCCTTAACAAGAACCCAGGCAAGCAGGGTGATGAGAAGACCTTCCGGTCGATGCGGACGGCAGAGATCAAACATGGACGTGCTGCCATGATGGCTGCGCTTGGTGCTGTGGTGCAGCACTACGTGAAACTCCCGGGCTTCGAGAAGGTGCCTGCGGGCCTGGATGCTGTCAATGTTGCTCCTGGCAGCTACGGCTTCATCGCACTCTTCCTGATTTCAGGTGTTCTGGAGCTTGCCGTGTGGACGGAGAGTGACAAGAAGGCTCCGGGAGACTTCGGCGACCCGCTCGGCTTGAACAAGTATGATGAGGAGTTCCGGAACCGGGAGCTCAACAACGGCCGCGCGGCCATGTTCGCTGCCATCGGCATCATCGCCGCGGAGCTCTACACCGGCAAAGACGCCGTGGAGCAGCTTGGCTTGGCCTGATAGCCGACCTGATAGCCTGATGGCCTGAGCCGAAGAGGCGTGGTTTTTTTTGAAGGATAAATTCAAGAGATACCTTGGAAGACCAATATTTGCTTATTTCAACATTCATCTTGTCCGGTTGGGCATCCCCTGGCCACGCGTGACCTCGTGTGCAGAGCTGCTCTCCAGTGCAGGAAGCGCAGTGGCGAACACATGGGCAAGAAGCCCAAGAGCATGCGTTGTGAAACATGTGCACCCGCGCCTGGCAAACTCCAACTCCCAACCGCCAGGGTGGAGCGTCGAAGTTATGGAGCAAACCCTAAACCCTAAACCCTAAACCCTAAACCCTAAACCCTAAACCCTAAACCCGAATTCTTAAAGCGGTGCAAGCTGCTGGAAGGAGAGGAGGCCACCGAAACGATGACCCCCAAGGATGGGCCGGGTGCATCTTCTGTGGGGTTTAGGGTTTAGGGTTTAGGGTTTAGGGTTTAGGGTTTAGGGTTGAGGGTTTAGGGTTTAGGGTTTAGGGTTTAGGGTTTAGGGTTTAGGGATCGGCCGGTGAGTCTTCTGTGGGTTCTCTCTGGGCTTGAGGGCTTTAGGGTTTAGGGTTTAGGGTTTTAGGGTGTAGGGTTTAGGGTTTAGGCTTTAGGGTTTAGGGTTTAGGGTTTCTACCCATAGGCCCTAAAGTAGTTCCTTTTTTGGGCTCATATATAAAATCCTATAAGGTAATTTTAAAAATGAACTACTATGGGGCCTATGGGTAGAGCTTAGGCCTTATGGTTTTGGGTTTCGGGGTTCGGGTTTACGGTTTGTAGTGGTGGTTGGGCCTTACGGTTTTGGGGTTTCTAGGGGATATAGGTCTTGTGGTGTTACTGGTAGGGTTTCTAGTGGTTGGGTCTTTTTGGGGGGTTTGGTGCGCTTTAGGGGTCGCTGATGTTAGGCTGATGTTCCCAGAACAAGTTCTACATAACAACCTCAGTCAATACAGCGTTCGAAATTGTAGTACCCCTGTTTTAAAACAAGCTTATGAAGTTACGACCCCTGCAGCAAGCGCAGGAGCAGGAGCAAAGGCAGGAGTAACAGTAGGAGCAAGAGCAGGAGCAAGAGCAGGAGCAAGAGCAAGGGTAGGAGCAAGCAGCAAGAGCCGCAGCGGGAGCAGGAAACGACAGCAACAGCCGGAGCAGGAGCAACAGCAAGATCCCCTCTGAAAGTGACAGTAGAGCTAAACATCGCCCCTAACAGTAAAGCACTTTTTGTTGAGTGTTTATTGGGGCCCCCCGTTTAATGGAGACGGGATTAAGGCCCATAGGTGTTTGAGGTAACTTTAGCTACCAGAACGTCGGGGGACCCACCGAAACACGTCAACTCGTTCTCTTGAGGTTCGTGGTTTGGACGGGGTGTGTAATATAGTTGTTAGAGCAGGGGTTCTTGTGCTATAGTTATAATAAGGAACCCTAAGGAATAATATTGGTATTTCATGATGTTCTACAGAACTTGCCTATGGTGACACGGGTTCAAAAGCAGTCCATCCCCTGCCCCGAACGCAACGACTAGGAGTGGTCTGCTCTGCACGCCTCGCAGTGCGCGAAGGCGGAAGACCGCGTGGCTTTCTTGGGTTTTAAGAGGGGGTTCCAGTAAAGTGTGAGCCTCTGATACAGCAAAGATTGGGGAAGCCCTGCGTAGGCTTCGGCTAGTTTATACCCTGAAGCCTCTAAACCCTAGATTCTAAACCGAAACCCTAAATCCGAAACTCTAAACCCTAAACCCGAAACTCCAAATCTGAAACTCGTAACCCTAAGCCTGAATATAGGTAGCTGCCATATCAGTGGCATCAGTGGAGCCCCCCTGAGACTGAGCCGGGTCCAGGCTTCTTTGAAATCTGTATGAGCCTGGACAGAGGGCCCTCAAAACGGTTCAGGGTTTAGGGTTTGGGTTTTGCGGTTTAGGGTTTAGGAGGGTTTCGGGTTTAGGGCTAGAGGTTTTAGGGTTTAGGGTTCGATGACTGGGATGTGGGCTTTGCAGATTACCCAGCCTTGGGCGTCACGAAGGATCCTGATGTCTTGGGGCTTTTGTGGCCTCAACTTCGTGGCATGCCGCGCACGAGGCCATAAACCCGGAATCCGCAGACTTCCAAGCAAAACCCGAACCCGAAAACTCCAAGAAACTAAAGCTTGCAACCCTACAAACCCTCAGCCCAAACTCTAAACTCCGAAGACACCGGAAGCGACCCTAAACCCTAAACCCTAAACCCTAAACCCTAAACCCTAAACCCGGTTTAGGGCGGGGCTGAGGGTTCAGGTTCTGGGTTTGAGGCTTTGGGGATCCCGGCTCATGGGCTCCTGGGGCTTGGGG